CCAGGAAGACGGGAGTTAGGGGAGGGGGATGCAAACTTCTTCAGGCTTAGGTCCTTGGGGGGCTCCTAGTCTAGCTCCTTCCTCGGCTCACCTCCCAGCTCCTCCCAGTTTCTGTGTGGACCTCCTCCTTTCCCCCCTCCTCCCTGCTCCCCTTCTCTGGGTGGGGGTTGGGCTCCAGCAAGGGGAGGGCTGACCACTCCTCCCCGCCCCACCCCTCCCCTCCCTTCCCCATGTGCTTCCTGGGGGGCTGGTGCAGGCACCAGCAGGGGCACTCTGGGCAGCTGGGAGAAGGCCCATCTGGGCAAGCCTCCCCCGGCGGCCCCTCGGCCGGCCTGCCCGCTTCTCTTGCAGGTTTCTCCAAGTGCCTCCTTGCTCCTGTTTGCTTTCCCATCTCTCCAGGTTTCATCTTCCCAGTTCTCTTCTCGGGCCAGTGGCGTGGGGGCTGTGCCTGGTGGGCTCCACGGAGATGCTTAGTGCTCGGGATCGCCGGGACGGGCCCCCTGCAGAGGGGGCAGCTGCGGGGCTCCAGGGCTTCGCTGTGGACAAGACCTTCCTCTCCTCCCTCAAAGGCATCCTGCTGGAAACTGAGCTGGTAACAGTCACCTCCCCAACCTGGCGCCTCCATCTCTCCCAGTTTGATCCCACTCCCCCCCTCCCTGCCCAGTGCCCCCATTGGGCTCGCCCCTCAGCGGTCCCCTTTCCGGGGCTCTCTGGACACCCCTCCTGCCCCAGCTGCCCTGCCCTCACCTCCCTGCCCGCCCGCCCTCTGGCTACCTCTCCATCTGAAGGCCCTTACAGCAGCTTCAGCGGCAGGAGGAAGAACTGAAGTTAGGACATAAAGGGCAAGCTTCCTGCAGCCCCCCTTTATCTGTGTCTGCCCCCCCCCCCCGTGAACATCTGCTCTCGGGACAGAATCTTCCCCTGTCACTTAGTAAGACCTTAGTCTCAACCTAAGTTCGCTGAGTATGTGTCACCGACATCGCCAGAGCTGAAGGGTCCCTTAGAGTCCACAATGGAGCATCTGCCTTCTGAACGTTGTCTCTTGGTGTGAACCAAAGGCCTTGTTTTGGTTCTTGTTTAGAGGAGTTTCAGAAATCTGGGAGTGGGGCAAGTACTGTGGGATGGGGGTCCCTCCTGGGGTGCAGGGCTGCTGTGGGCGTGACTCCAGGGGCTGGTGTTCACTCTGTACCCTGGGCTTCAGCAGGACACCTCTTTTGTGGGTTCCATAGAATGATGCCCCCTGGAGGGGTGCAGCTTGGTCAAACTGCTGGGGTTGCTGGGAGCCAGGGGCTGGGGGAGCTGGGAAGCTGGAGACTGCCCTCGATGGGCAAACGCCCTGGAGTGTGGCTCTCCGCTACCAGGGATGGGCAGACCTCCAAGGATGGGTGGTGGGGGCCAGCCTGGAGGAGTTCCTGAGGAGGGGAAGGCAAAAAATCTGGCCAGGCCTGTGTCCCCTTCCTGGCAAGCTTCACACACTTGGTCCTGCAGGCCCTGACCTTCATCATCTTCATCTGCTTCACGGCCTCCATCTCCGCTTACATGGCCGCAGCGCTGCTGGAGTTCTTCATCACGCTCGCCTTCCTTTTCCTCTACACCACCCAGTACTACCTGCGCTTCGATCGGCTGAACTGGCCCTGTCTGGTGAGGGACCCTGCCCCCGCACCATTCTGGTCCCTTTCTTCTCTGAAGGCGAAATTTTCCTTTTCCCTCCCAGCCTCTGTCCTTTCTCTGGGGCAGTATGGGGCCCAGCCCCAACACCGATTTCACAGCTCTGAGGCACTGACAAGGGGGATGCCCTCCCACTCACCGAAGGTCCCACCCCGCCCCTGCCCTGGCCCTCCTGGCCCGCATGCCCCAGCCCTGCCCCACCTGGAGTCCTGGCTCCTAGTCCTGGCCGCTCTGCATTCACCTGCATCCCTTCCCTGGCTCTCTCTCAAGTGCTTTATATCGTGTCCAGGGGTAGCTCCATGTAGGGGTTCACAGTGCCTGAGGGTCAAGCCTCTGAATAGCCTGGAAAACCTCAGGGTGATGTTCTCTTGCCCTCTGACTTCCCTTTGACCCTGCACCGCCCCCCCACCCCCCAGGACTTCCTCCGCTGTGTCAGTGCCATCATCATCTTCCTGGTGGTCTCCTTCGCGGCTGTGACCTCCCGGGATGGAGCTGCCATCGCTGCTTTTGTGAGTCCAGCCCCACCGAGCTCCCCAGGCCCTAAGGGCTTCTGGCTGGCGTTTGCACACCCTCGGTGCCTCCCCACAAGCCCAAGCCGGCGCCTGGGGCTTGGGCTCCCACCGAGCCCCGTACCGCCCACCTCCCTCTCCCTAGTACGTGATGGCCGACGGCCTTCGTTGCGTCATCCCCGCGCCTACGCGCCTGCTCCCACAGGTGTTTGGCATCATCCTGGTCTCCGTCTTTGCCTACGATGCCTTCAAGATCTACCGGACCGAGATGGCTCCCAGGACCACCCAGGGTGAGTGTCTGTGCTCTGGGGAGAGGACATGCCCCCTCCACCCTGTGCCACGGTTCCCTGATCCTGACATGCCCTTCCCGGCCTGGCTCCGTATTCACAGAGGCCCAGCAGTGACCCTGAGCTACCTGGCTCCTAGGCCCAGCCAGACAAAAGGAACAGTGCAGCCCAGACACTTTTTCTTTGGATTCACTAGCCCACAGCCCACTGCTCCCCAGCCAGGCCTTCCGAGATGGAGTCTGGCCTGAGAAGTCACCAGGGACTTGTCTGTGGGGCTCAGTGCTCTGAGATCTGGCTCCCGATGAAGCTCTACCAGGAAGGAGGTGTTTTGGGGAGGGAGGGCAGGAAGAAGCTGGTCATTCCCAAATTAAAAGATTCGAACCCTACTGGTGAGTCTTTTTCTTCCCTAGGAATCAGGCAGATCAGGAAAGCCAGGGAGTATTCACAAAAATGGTCATGGTCCCTCCTCTGCAACCAGGTCTGAGCCATGAGGAAGGGGGAGTGGACTGAAGGTGCTGAAGACTTCCTTCAACACCAGACTTCCGCTCTACGATCTGTGTGCCGGGTCACTTTGTGGTGGGCCTGGTGGCTGGGCTCCCAGAGTCCTGTGTCTGAGAAGGCACAAGCCTTTCCCATGTGAGTGCCCACCTGCGCGCACAGGTTTGTTAGTGGGTTTGGAGCCAGGTGCTTGCCTGGGGCGTGTGTAGAGCTCCCCCTTGTGGTGTGGGGAGGACAGGAGCAGAGAGAGGTCAGCCGGTGGCACCAGATGAGGGCAGAACTTCCCGAAATGCTGGCTCTGGAAGAGCTCTTAGACATCAGCTGGTCCAATGCCCTCATTTCACATAAGAGAAAACAAGCCCAACTACAGGAAGTGACCTCTTCACTTGTGACAGAGCTGGGATGAGAACCTAGCTTGCCTCACATCTCTACAGGTGATCAGGATACAGTACTGAGCTCCCGCTAACTCAGGAAAAACATGGCCCAGCCTCATCTCCAGCTCCCTCCACCAATGGGTCCGCTCCCCCAGCTTGCCAGGGCCTCAGCAAACATTTCCTGAGCATCTCCTGTGTGCAGACCCTGTGCTGGGCCCCAGGGATTCAGAGGTGACAGGCAGCCCTGTCCTTGGGCACTCACAGCCTGGGAAGGAGACAGGCTAGTGAAGGACAGCCATGCCTGCCTGCAGCGAATGCTGTGGGAGAGTTTGGCTGGGGGTGTTTGGAGAGCAGGCACTGCGACGACCCAGGAATCAGCCCTGCTTGTCCCGTGATAGTGCGGGGCAGCTGGGATGTCCCTGCCCACCCACGTGGCCTAACTCAGTGGCTCATACAAGCTGGCTTGCTATCCCTCTAATGCTGGTTTGCTCCTGCTCTGAAATACCTTCCCTTTTTTTCTGGGGTGCTCCTGCCAGAGGCAGGCCCCAGCCCCCAAGCCCTGCCCGAACCCTGCAACTCCAGTAGAGCGGTTCTGCTCCCCTTGGTGATAATCGTGGGTCTGTCCGGGTCTGACTTCTCCAACTTTCCTGTCCTCATGTCCGGGCTCCTCACCAGAACTGGCAGCCTCCCCAGGGCTAGAACCAACTGGATTTTGTGTTTTTCTGGGTTTCTGCTAACATTCTCAGGGCTCTACGCATAGTCCACTCTCAACACTGATTGGCCACCCTTGGGGGAGGTGGGGTCAAGGCTTTAGAGGAGGCATAGCAGGGGCTTAGCCAGGGCAGTTTAGGAGATGGGGTGCCAGGTGAAGGGATGAGAAGGTAGTTAGGAGAACCTGGGCTATAAAGCCCAGCAGGGGGCAGGGATTTGCCTGGAGCCGAATGGGGCCGGGACCAGCCCTGTCCCCTGGGCAGGCATATAACCTGGGCTAGACTGTCCCTGGTGGGAGCTCAGAGAGAGTGGAAGTGTGATCTACGGTGTGTACCTGCTCATGCACCTGTGCCCATCTGTGCCCGTGTGAGAGGCCAAAATGAAACAAGCAACGCTTGGCTTTGGTCCACAGAGCCTGTTGATTCAGGCTCGGTGTCAGCTGGCCCCAGAGGCTCAGGATTCCCTCACAGTGAGGCGCTGACCACAGAGGCCGAGGTCAGACCTGGGCCCCAGCCGACTGTGCCTGGGACTCCCTTTGGGTTACTTGTAAGGGGCTGGCCAGAATGGGACCTGTACCAACCCCTTTACGAACCTCCACCCCCAGTGAGCCCTGAGCCTCTCCTGGTGTCAGTGGGAAATTCATCTGGGAGGGAACGGGTGTCCCAGGACGCCTTTAACCCCTGCAGCCCAGAGCTGGGGTAGGTGGAGGGGAGCTTCAGCTTTGACATGAAAATTCTGTCTCTCGGCACACAGAATTGGCTCACCCTTCTGGTACCTTTGTTTTCTCTCCTCCTGACCAGGGCTCTCTGGGCCTCGGCTGCCTCCTCTGTAGATGTGGAAAGCTTGGGCTCCCACAGCTCTGACACAGGGGCAGGGCCTCCCTCTGCTGGGGAGCTTTAAGACAGCTGCTGGCTGGCTGGCGGCGGTGGTGGGAAGGACGGGGCGCAGGCAGAGTCCGGCATTCAGGTTTATTACAGGTTGGCAAGAGGGGGGTTCCTGAGGCGGTGTCACTCCTCGTCATGCAGTTTTTGCTGAGAAGGGAGTAAAGGGTGTGAGGGGCCAGCTGGCAAGAGGGAGGTAGGGTGTGGGGAGGAATCTCTAGGGCTTTCAGGGGCCTAAAGGGGATGGCTTTAGAGGGAGAGGTTCTGGCCTCGGGGATCTTGGGTCTCACTTGGGGGCCTTTGTAGTTTAGTGGGTGGGACTGGGCTTTCTTCAGAGGTTCAGGGGGTTCTCAGGTATGGGTGCTGTGGGACCCCCAGGTCTGCCATCATATAGGGTAAGGAGTGCCCATTCTGAGGGCCACTGATGTTGGCGGATGTGCTGACACGGGGTGACTAGTGAGCCCCGGAGGAGGGACCCACCTTGGCGCCGATGTCGCGGCTCTTGGCCCGCAGCTTGTTGACCTGGGACTCAGCGATGTCCGCGCGCTCCTCCGCCTCATCCAGCTCGTGCTGCACCTTGCGGAACTTGGACAGGTTGGTGTTGGCCTGCTCCTCCTGCAGGGGTTCGGGGACGGGGAGGCTGAGGTGAGAGGCAGCAGGGGGAGGGGGAGGAGGTGGAAATTCCCAGCCTCCCAATCTGAGGGATTCCCTGTCCCTGAGCCAGGGCTCAGGGCTCTCACCCCTCTACTATGTTCCTGCAACTGCCTTGCCAAGGGTATCCTGTTCCTGGCTTGGCACCCTCCTCAACTTGCCAGCATTCAGAATCCTGCATGGCCACCCACTGCCTGAGATGAATTACATGCTGCCTGGTCCAGTCCCATTCAGAATTCAGCCTCACTGCATCTGCCCAACTAGGACTCTGATAGATGCTCCCAGCTCCGGGGTTTCCTGCACATGTGTGCTCATCGACACCTTACTTTCACACTTTTCTGCCCACCCAGAGTCTTCCCCACTGCCCTATGGTCAGGTCCTCTCCTGGGCTCACTTCCACGGCCACCTTCCAGCCTTGAGCACTGTCTGGCCCCGTGGCCTGCTTAGCAGCTACACTGCCTTCCCTCAGGTCTACTGGGGTATGGGTTCTCAGCAGTCTGTAGGCATTGCTTGTGCTTGCTCAGAGTGCCCGACCCAGCTCTGAGCACACGGACACGTGAAACGTCTAGTTCCCATGCTGGGGCTGACGCCCATGGATTCTCACACATGGGAGGTGTGTTGACAGAGTGGAGAAAACCATGAACTCACCGCCTCCTCGGCCTGGCGCTTGTAGGCCTTGACCTTCAGCTGCAGCTTGTCCACCAGGTCCTGCAGCCGCAGCAGGTTCTTCTTGTCCTCCTCCGTCTGGGGGTGGATGGATGGGAGAAGCCAATTTGGGGGAGGAGCAAGTGCAATCATTGTTCCCTCCCTCAATCCGTCATTCTTCTCCCCAGGCCTCAGCTGCCTTCCCTCCCTCCGATGGGCCAGGTCAAAGAAGGGGGGTGTTGGATTCCAGCTCTGCCTCAACTTGTAGGTCAAAAGGCCACAGCAAGGTCCTCAGTCCGGATCTAAAAAGCAAAGAGGGCTGTGGCCCTAAAGCTGGAAGTGGGGCAAGGGGCCCAGAACCAAATGGAATTCCTTCATCTGATAACATGGAGCTATCGGGGCTGTTGCAGCCCCAGCCTGGAGCCCCGTCGATGCTCTCAGCCGGTGGTTTTAGAGTGAGCTGAGAGGACTAATGAGGACCACAGGGTGAAGGGGGCACCGTCATAGGCAGACCATTCTAACCTATCAGATACGTGGATTGCACTGGGCAGATTTGGGCACCAGGATCACTGGCCCTAATGTCACCAGATCATTTCTATCTCGTCATCACTGTATGTGCTAGGGTGCCTCTCCCACTTATGTACACAACAGGTCTGCCGCTCTCCAGCTGTAGCTCTGTCTCATGTCTCTCACATCCAGCTGTCAAAGGGACCAATACCCCCTTTCTCTGTCCTTCCTTCCTAGGCGCACTGTGAAAATAACAGGTCAAGGGCAAAAGCTCTGAGCTACACAGGTGCAGGTCTTAGAACATTTTGGGATCATCTTTATCTAAGGCCATCTATCTGTTGTCCCACAAGTTCCAGGGGAAGGTCTGAGTCTTTCCCATCTCTGACTTTTATCCTGAAAGTGCCATACTATGTTCTTCCCTTTCAGGCTGGTAGAAAGGTTCTGTGGACTGTGCTAAAGCCTTCATGGTAACACTTTGGGTTCTTAAAAAAAACCCTGAGGAAACACTGGTTAAAAGAGCTTTCAGGAAGTAGAAATAGGTTCTCATTCGCTAGAAAAAATCATGGACTCAAGCCAAATGCACTCCAGGGAATGTGAAAGAAAATTAATCTAAAGACAGCTTCTCAAGAAGTAGGTGCCAGGGGGTTGAGTGGCATTCCCAGACAGTGACTGTGCGTGGGGCCTGTGTGGCCAGGAAGTGGGGCAGGGGAAGCGCTTTCACATCTGCCCTTGACTGCCCCCCAGAGCAGCCACCATGCCCACACCTGGTAGGTCAGCTCCTTGATGCGACGCTCACTCTTCCTCATGCCCTTGACCGACTCCACGTTGCGCTTCTGCTCGGCTTCCAGCTCGTTCTCCAGCTCTTGCACCCGGGCCTCCAGCTTCTGCAGCTGCTTCTTGCCCCCCTTGAGGGCGATCTGCTCGGCCTCATCCAGCCGGTGCTGCAGGTCCTTGATGGTCTGCTCCATGTTCTTCTTCATGCGCTCCAGGTGGGCGCTGGTGTCCTGCTCCTTCTTCAGCTCCTCTGCCATCATGGCAGCCTGGGGTCAGGAGAGAGGTCTAAAAGAACTGGGCCCAGGGCCCCTTGTCCCTCAAGGATCAGCGTTTTCCCAGCCTGGTGTCTGTTTCCCGAGGCCCGCCAACCCACGCAGCAGTAAGAGTCGGCTTGTCACGGTGCAGTGGCTTGGCCGGGACCCAGGGCCCTTGTTCACGTCTTTAGTGGGGGCGGGAGGGGAGCGGTCACTCACATCGGTGATGGCCTTCTTGGCTTTCTCCTCGGCGTTCCTGCACTCCTGCACCGCCTCTTCCACTTCTGATTGGAGCTGGGACAGGTCTGCGTCCATCTTCTTCTTCTGGTTGATGAGGCTGGTGTTCTAGGTATAGGTAGAGAAAACTATCAAATACATACTTTGTTACTAGATTCTACACTTTTATCCACAGAAAATTAAAACTAGTCATTTTTAATTTATTTTTATTATTTATTTTTAAAGATGTATTTATTTGGGAGAGAGAGAGGGCGCGTGGGCACGAGCGGGAGGGGCAGAGGGAGAAAGAGAGAGGATCCCAAGCAGACTCCATGCTGAACACAGAGCCTGACATGAGGCTCTATCCCATGACCCCAAGATCACAACCTGAGCCAAAACTAAGGGTTGGAGACTTAACAGACTGCGCCACCTAGGCTCCCCAAAAAACTAGTCACTTAAAAAAAAAAGTCTTGCTTTTGTTTATTCCTTGTTTATTTGTTGTACCTTTGTTATTGTATATTCCATGTTTTGTATCTGCTTTTCCTTTTCCTATGAAAACAGATATGTTCTAGATGTTATATCTAAAATTACTCAGCTCTGAAGAAGGACTTCAAGCAGCAAAAGGTCTACAGTTCTACTTCTGACATCTTTAGTAATGTGTCTATTCAGGAGCATGAAAACATTCCCAGGAAAATGGGAACAACTTTGTTTACAAGGACAATATCCTGGAAATGATTATAGTTACAAAAAGAATGTAGTGGAGTAAGGAAGAGGGGACGGCGTCAGTGCATGACGTCATTCCCACACGTACTAGATTACCGATAAAAGCCCCATGGGACCCTGCCGTAAGATGGACACAAAAACTCACTGCGGAGAACAGCCGGTGACTGGGTGTATGGGATTGCGGAACAGTGGTGTTCCACCGAGAGTTTGGTTTGCACGTGGATGCATTTGTACTTCTTTAAACTCCCTGGATCTCATCTTTACAGAGCAAGCTGGAGCTGTCCTCTAGATCAGGGATGCCAAATTACAGCAAGCAATCCACGACTCCCAGGCCTGTGACTTCGGTGGACATCAGCAACCATTAGCTTCAGAGTGTAGGCCCCCTTCTCAAGGCGGTGCCATAACTAGCAGAGGAGGGATGGCCCAGGAGACAAAGTAATTTGCCATCCCGGTTGGACATGCTCACTCAGGGCACCTGGTTCAGAACTTCCCGAGGCGTGCTAGGCTCTGGCCCTCTGCAGGTTTCTCTGCGTGGCCCCTGAGCGCCTCACCTGGGAGTGCAGCAGCTGCACCCGCTCGCTAGTCTCGATCAGCTCCTGCTCGGCCAGCTTCCGAGACCGCTCCGTCTGCTCCACCACGGCCCGCAGCTCCTCCAGCTCCGCCTGCAGCAGGTTGTTGCGCCGCTCTACGATGGCGATGTTCTCCTTCAGGTCGTCGTTGGCGCGGACCGCGTCGTCCAGCTGGACCTGGGTGTCCTGGTGGGGGCGGGGGGAGGAAGCATGTTGGAGAGCTGCACCCATCCCATCAGGGCTTCCCATTCGGGGTCTGATGCACCCGATGCCATGTTCACAAACCTTCCGTCAAGTGTAGGGCCAAGGGGCACATCCCCTCGTCTATTCTCTAGGCCCGGGTACTGGGCTGGTCCAGGACTTGCTTGGGGTCTGATCAGTTCTCTTTCCTCAAGCCTCCAAGTAGAGGAGGTAAGTGGCTCCCACTTTCTCTTATGTGTTAGCCCAGGGCCCTCACCAGACCTGTGGGCAGCTCCCTTCTGAGAGTCCCACCTTCTGTTACCTTCAGATGGGCCTGGGCAATCTTCAGGTGCTTCTGGGCCTCTGAGGCTATTCTGTTAGCCTGGCTGAGCTGGATCTCCATCTCGTTCAGGTCGCCCTCCATCTTCTTCTTCACCCGCAGGGCCTCATTGCGGCTGCGCGTCTCCGCGTCCAGGGAGGTCTGCAGCGAGTCCACCACCCGCAGGTGGTTGCGCTTGGCCTGCTCCATCTCCTCGTCCTTCTCTGCCAGCTTCCGCTCAATCTCAGCCTTGATCTGGTTGAACTCCAGCTGGGCCCGCAGGATCTTGCCCTCCTCGTGTTCCAGGGAGGCCTGGGAGGGGGTGGGGAGAGAGGGTCGGAGGCAGACTGTCAGGGCGCAGGGCGAGGTGGGGAGGGAGGCCAAGGAGAGGCAGGGTATCAGCCAGGACTACGGCTTGGAGAAGAAGGTCTGGGAAAAGATGCAGAAGGTGGGACCTGCATCCCAGGATGCCCTGGGTTTCCTCTGTCAAGGAAAGGGCTTGGACCTCACAAGTGCCAAGACCCTCTAATACTAACACTGCACAATCCTGACCTTCTAAGTATCATAGAAAAGGGGGAGGTTTTTATGACCACATATTCCAAACTTTATTTTTGTTTTCTGGGTCACTTACCCTTCAGTGAAAAAAGTTAGAAGCCCCGAAACTCAGGGCTCTCCCTAGGTTCTCTACAAATGAACAGTAACAATAGCAAATACGTATTAAGTGCTTAAGTTTGTGACCTCATTTAATCTTAGTAACAATCATGCATAAAATCTTATTGGGTATGTACAATTCATTCCATTAGAAATAAGAAAACTAAGGTACAGAGAGGTTAAGAAACTTGCCCAATGACACAGTGGAGGTCCTGAAGCCAAGTTTCTTTCTCTTTTTTTTTTTTTAAGATTTTATTATTTATTTGACAGAGGGAGAGAGTAAAAGCAGGGGGAGTGGCAGGGAGAGGGAGAAGCAGGCTCCCACTGAGCAGGGAGCCCGATGTGGGACTCGATCCCAGGACCCTGAGATCATGACCTGAGCCGAAGTCAGACACTTAACCCACTGAGCCACCCAGGCGCCCCTGAAGCCAAGTTTCAAACTCAGATCTGCTTGACTCTGAAGCCCACACTCCTACCTACTGTCTGAGGGGTTATTATGATGGCCATATTTCAACTTTCTAAACATAACCTTTTGGCCTATGATCAGACTGTGATGCTTTCCTTGGTGCAGACCTTGGCTTTGGAGGCAGTCATGGGTATCAGGTTAGTGGGTAGACTGAGAAAAAGGAGCTAATAAATTTTGTCTGAGGGTCAGTGTCACCCTCGGGTGAAGGAGAGTGGGGAGTCAGAGACAAGAGTGCGTGGGTAGGAGAGGGTACGAGGTAGGGGGACAGGCAGAGCCAGGCTCACCTCAGCCTCCTCCAGGGCTGACTGCAGCTCCAGCTTCTCAGCCTCCAGCTGCTTGCGGACCTTCTCCAGCTCGTGTGCATTCTTCCCTCCTTCTCCCAGCTGCTCGGTCAGGTCGGAGATCTCTTCTGGGGGTCAGAGGGCCAGAAAGCTCAAAGCCTGAGCTCTCCCTGCTCCAGTGTGGC